AAGATGCTCAGATTCTTAGAATCTAGCCAATACCTCACAGACTCTCAGATTCCTCAAGAGTATGGCTAATATGGCAGATCTTTAATAAACCTTATCTTTGACTGAAAGAAGTATTGGGTCAAATTCTTTCAGGTAGGACCCACGTGTCATGATCTTGGGGTCCCAGCACCCATATGCCTCAACATTTTGGTGGCCTCATATAGGGAAACTGCCTAACTTCAAGTTCTTCTCCAGCCAAGACTGGAAGGTATATAAGCCTCCCCTACCCTTCCTTGCTCTGCAGTTGGCATCCCTCTCTAAGCACCAAGGTTTGGAGGTGCTTTTCGGGCAGACAGTTACGAGGCTGTTTCATGCTCAGCCTGACACTCTCAGGCTCTCAGTCTACTGGGTCGTTCAAGGCCATGGACCTAGGTACACCTTCCACAGCATAGAGGACAAGGATGGACACCCGATATGGAAGTGTATGCCCAATTCTATCAATTCTCTCAGGCTAGGGAATTGGGGAAAACTGCAGTTGCTTTTTAGTTCCCTGAGGCTTACTTACTCCCTTCCCACTATACCCCCAAATTCTCCTTCCTGGAGGTTACAGGGAAAAGTTAGAACAGCTGAAAATATCTTGGCAGATTTTGGAGGTTTTGTGATTGTTCGTTAAGGAGTTTACAACTCTGGTCACTCCCTTCTCTTGAGTCAAGAGGGTATCTGTTAACCCCTCTCATAGGAGAAGAGAGTTTCACCCTTCCCCCTCACCTTTGATTTTTCCTTCCCCCACCCGGAGAAAAGAAGGAGTGGGGAGGGGCAGCAGCTATAGCATGGGACCCACTGGTAATGGACTTGGGCCCTGGGGCAACCTTTGCCTGGAAGTATCATCCAGGTTCAACACAACCTGCTCAAAGTAAAGAAGCTAGCTCCAAACTTGAGTAAAGAGCTTAACTGGAAAAGTAATTACTGCTGCAATTTGAGCTTCATAATCACGGGAAATCTGGAGACAAATTTCTTCAGCTCTGGATTGACAAGCTTTTTTAACCTCATCTTTCCACTGTGATTTCAGAATGGAACACTAGGCCTTCCAGATTTTCTTCTTCAATGTTTTCTGGTAGTGCTGGTCAGCTACCTAGCTTCATAAATATTAATGAAAATAATACCAAAAGGGAAAGGAATCTTGAAGTCCATAAACAATATGTGTGAAAAGTGGAAGACTGCTTTACGAATCTGTATTAAAAGTAATAAGTAATACTTCTTTTTAAAGAAAAGAACACCTTAAAAAACAGACTAGGCCAAATGGTAATAGAGGTCCAAAAAGCCAATGAGGAGAAGAATACCTTAAAAAGCAGAATTGGCCAAATGGGAAAGGAAGTCCAAAAGCTCACTGAAGAAAATATTTCCTTAAAAATTAGAATGGAGCAATTAGAAGCTAGTGACTTTATCAGAAATCAAGACACTGTAAAACAAAACCAAAAGAATGAAAAATAGAAAACAATGTGAAATATCTCATTGGAAAAACAAGTGACCTGGAAAATAGATGCAAGAGAGATAATTTTAAAATTATTGGACTACCTGAAAGCTATGATTTAAAAAAAGAGCCTAAATATCATCTTTTAAGAAATTTTCAAGGAAAACTGCTCTGATATTCTAGAACCAGAGGGTAAAATAGAAATAGAAGAATACCAAAAACCTCCTGAAAAAGATCCCAAAATGAAAACTGTCAGGAATATTATAGCCAAATTCTAGAGTTCCTGGGTCAAGGAGAGAATATTGCAAGCAATCAGAAAGAAACAATTTACATATCATAGAGCCACAGCCACGATAACACAAGATTTAGCAGCTTCTACATTAAAATATTGGAGGGCTTAGCATATGATATTCTAGAAGACAAAGGAGCTAGGATTATAACCAAGAATCACCCATCCAGAAAAATTGAGTATAATCCCTCGGGGGGGGGGGCGGTGGAGAGAATGGCCATTTAATGAAATGGATAACTTTCAAGCATTCTTGATGAAAAGATCAGAGCTGAATAGAAAATTTGACTTTCAAATATAAGACTGAAGAGAAGCATAAAAAGGTAAACAGGAAAGAAAAATCATAAGGAACTTAATAAGGTTAAACTTTTTACATTCCTACATGGAAAGGTGACACTTGTAACTCATAAAAACTCTCTCATTATTAGGGCAATTAGAAGGAGTATATATAGACAGAGGACACTGGTATGAATTGAATATGAAGGGATTATCTCTAAAACAATAAAATTAAGGAGTGAGAGAGGAGTGCTGGGAGAAAGGGAAAGAGAGAGGTAAAATGGAGTAAATTATCTCACATAAAAGAGGCAAGAAAAAGTTTTTACAATAGAGAAGAGGGGGGGAAATGAGAGGGAGGGAGTGAACCTTACTGTCATCAGAAATGGTTCAAAGAGGGAATAACATACACATTCAGTTGGGTATGGAAATCTGTCTTACCCTACAGGAAAGTAGGAGGGAAAGGGGGATAAGAGAAGGGGTGTGTATAATAGAAGGGAGGGCAAATTTGGAGAGAGGGTAGTCAGAAGCAAAACACTTTTGAGGAGGAACAGGACGAAAGGAGACAGAAAATACAATAAAAGGGGGAGGGGAAATAGGATGGAAGGAAATACAGTTAGCTATAGTAACTCTGAAAAAAATTTTGAAGCAATTTTCTCTGATAAAGGCCCCATTTCTCAAATATTTGGAGAACTGAGTCAATTTATAAAAGTAAGAGTCATTCCCCAACTGATAAACAATCAAGAGATATGAACAATATTCAGACAAAATAATCAAAGATATCTATAGCCATATAAAAATGCTCTAACTCACTGTTGATCAGAGAAATGCAAATTAAAGCGATTCTGAGTTACTTACCTCATACCTATTAGATTGTCTAATAGGACAGAAAAGGTAAATGACACATGTTAGAGGGGATGTGGGAAAAATGAGACATTATTGCACCACTGATGGAGTTGTGAATTGATTCAACCATTCTGTAAAGCAATTTGGAACTATGCCCAAAGGACTATAAAACCATGCATACCTTTTGACCTAGCAATACCACTACTAGGTCTGTATCCCAAAAGAGATAAAAAAAAAAAAAAGGAAAAGGACCTATATGTATAAAAAAATATGTATAGCAGCTCTTTTCTGGCAGAAAAGATTTGAAACATGAGGGGATATCCATCAATCAGGGAATGGCTAAACAAATTGTGATACGTGATTATGATGGAATACTAATGTGCTATAAGAAGTGATGAGTAGGATGTTCTCAGAAAAACCTGAACTGACTTACATGAGCTGATGCAAAGTGAAATGTACCGTGTACAAAGTAACAGCAATATTATTGTAATATGATCAGCTGTAAATGACTTGGGTATTCTCAGCAATACAATGATCCAAGATAACTCTGAAGGACTTATGATGAGAAATGCTATTCATCTCCAGAGAAAGAGCTGATGGTGTCTGAATATAGATTGAAGCATTCTTTTTTAACTTTATTTTTCTTGAAGGGTTTTTTATCTATGTTTTCTTTCACAACTTAACTAATATGGAAATATTTTTCATGACTATACATGTATAACCTAACTTGAATTGTCTGTCTTCTCACTGA